TGTTTCCTAACAGTTGTGGTTGGAAACGATGGTTGATATGATTTCACTCTTACATTTATTGAGATTGTTTTGTGACCTAATACGTGATCTGTCCTGGAGAATGTTTCACGTGATTTTAAAGCAATGTGTATTCTGTTGTTTAGGGATGGAACGTTCTATATATATGTGTTAAGTCTATCTGGTCTAATATGTTATGCAAAGACACTGTTTCCTTTTTAATTTTTTGCCTGGATGAAGTATCCATTAATGTAAGTGGGATGTTAAAAAGTCCCCTACTATCATTGTATTACTGTCAGTTTCTCCCTTTACATCTGTTAATATTTGCTTATTAAGTGTTCCAACGGTGAGTACATAGATATTTACAATTGTTGTATCCCCTTGTTGGATTGATCCCTTTATTATCATGTAATGCCTTTCTTTGTCTCTTGTTACACTTTAATGTCTGTGTTGTCTGATATAAGTATTACTACCTAGGCTTTATTTCACTTCCATTTGCATGGAATATCTTTTTCATCATTTCACTTTTAGTCTTCCTGTGTCTTTAGGTCTGAAGTGAGTCTCTTGCAGGAAGCATATAGGTGGGGCTTGTTTTGTTATCCATTCTGTCACCCTGTGTATTGACTGGACCATTTAGATCATTTATATTTAAAGTAATTATTGATAGGTATTTACTTAATGCCCCTTTATTGTTTTCTGTTTGTTTTTGTAGTTCTTCTCTGTTCCTTTCTTCTTTCGCTCGCTTGTGATTGATGACTTTCTTAATATTAGGCTTGGATTTCTCTCTCTTGTGTATCTAGTATAAGTTTTTGGTTGATGGTTACCATGAAGTTCATATATAACATCCTAAGTATTTAACAGTCTGTATTAACTTGATGGTCACTTAATTTCCAAGACATTGTAAAAGAACTTTATTTTTACTCCCCCGCTCTTCACCGTTTTTGTGTTTTCGTGGTTTACAGCTTTTTATTTCATGAGTCCCCTTAACTAAATTTTAAAGATTTTATTTATCTTAGAGAACATGCGTGTGAGCAGTGGAGGAGTAGAGGGAAAGAGAGGAGGAAAGAATCTCCAGCAGACTCTGTGCTGAGTGTAGAGCCCACCATGGGGCTCAGTCTCTCAACCCTGAGATCATGACCTGAGCTGAAACCAGGAGTCAGATGCTTAACTGACTGTGCCACCCAGGAGTGCCACACCCCCTTAACTATTTTTTTTTAGAAATAATTGAATTTACTACTTTTGTCTTCTAACCTTCATACTAGCTTCATAAATAATTGTTCTATTACCTTTAGTGTATGTTTGCTTTTATTTGTGAAAGGTTTTCTTTTCCTAATTTTCTTTTTTTTTTTTTAAAGATTTATTTATTTATTTGACAGAGAGAGACACAGCGAGAGGGAACACAAGCAGGGGGAGTGGGAGAGGGGGAAGCAGGCTTCCCAAGGAGCAGGGAGCCTGATGCAGGGCTCGATCCCAGGACCCCAGGATCACGACCTGAGCCGGGGCAGACGCTTAACGACTGAGCCACCCAGGTGCCCCTCCTAACTTTCTTCTAATTGTGGCCTTTTCTTTTCCACTTAAAAGAGTCTCTTTAGAAAGTGACTTTTTCTCTGGGTGCTTTTAAGATTTTCTTTTTTTTCGTTGATTTTTTTTTCCCCAGCAACTTACTTATGATATGCCTTGGTGTGGTACATGTATATCATCAATTAGGGCTTTTTATTGAGGACTTGTTATCAGGGGTTAATGGTTGACAGCTTGGAAAATTTTAGTCATTATTTCACTCTCTTTCTTTTCTGTTATTTCCTTTCAGTACTCTAGTTACACACAGTTGATCACATATTTTTCCATTGAGACTGTTATTTTTTTATGCTTCATTTTATATTCTGATGTTCTGTTTTAAAGTTTACCAGTCTTTATTTCCGTAGTGTTTAATATGCTGTTATTTCTGTCCAGTGAGAAATCTGTATTTTAGATAATGAATATGTCATCTCTGCAATTTCAGTTTTATTCTTTTTTATACCTTTCATTTTTCCCATACTTTTGATTTCCATTAAATTCTTGTTCATAATTATCATTGTTCTAACATCTCTGTCCTTGTTCTGTTATCATTTCTGTCATTTCTGGATCTGTTTTATTGATTGTTTTTTTCTTGGTGTTTTCACATTTTCTTCCTGTCATCTCTAGTAATTTTTGATAGAATGTGGAACATTTTCAATGGTTACATTGTTGACTGTATGGATTTTGTTATCTTCCTTTTTTATAGAGTGACTGCTATTTAAGTTAGTTTGGGGTTCCTTTCATCCCTTTGGAGCATTCTGGGCTTTTTGTTTTTTTCTTTAGCTTTACTTCAGTGCATCTAGGGTAGCTTTTACTCAAGGGACAGTTTATCCCTTCTATAAAGCTATGATCCTTCCTGGCTCTTCACTGAATGCCCTAAATGATTACCAAGGACTTTTAACTTTGACTCCATGATTATGAACCTTGGGAATTGTTTAGGTTAAAACTCCCATTTCTTTTTTTAGTCTTGTGGAGATTTTTCCCTGTGCATGTGTCTAGTGCTGAGGAAAAACTCAAAGGGACCCATGTGCAGATTTCCAGAGATTTTTCTCTTTATACGTTCTTTTTTTTTTTTAATTTTATTTTTTCATTTATTTGAGAGAGAGTGAGGAAGTGAACGTAAGCAGGAGGAGGGGCAGAGGGAGAGGAGAGAGAATCCCAAGCAGACTCCACACTGAGCATGGAGCCTGACAGGGGGCTCGATCTCACAACTCTATCATAACCTAAGCCAGAATCAAGAGTCAGATGCTTAACTGACTGAGCTACTTAGGCACCCCTTCTTTCTCATCAGAATTCTGCCCTGAACTTCCACTCACCCCAGCCTCCCTAAATTCTGATCTTACCTCTTCCATTTAGCAGTTATGTTTTCCCCTCTGTCACTGAATTTAGGTAAAGTGCCTCCACTTGGAAACCTGGGTCAGTTGTAGGGATCACATGTCTCTCAAAGATCACAGTTGTGTACTACCTGTTGTTCAGTATTTGAGACCATTCTTTTTATTTTGTCCAGTTTTCTAATTTATGATTTTTGTCTGTATCTTATGAATTGATATTAGTACTTTCTTAATATTTCTTACTCTTTCATATTTATTTTTCTATAAGGAATATTAGAATCAGCTTGTTTTACTTTTAAAAATGTGTTTAAGGTTATGTGAAATGCATAGATTAATGTAGGGAGAACTAATATCTTTGGAATATTGAACCTCGATAGTCAAGTACAGTAGCACATACCTTTGTAATTTGTAATTTAACCAAGAGTTAGTATCTATCTATTGCTATTTTATTGTGAGTTTTTACTAAAAATATTTATTGTTTTCTCATGCCTTTTCCCTTTGTATGCAAGTAGTCATAGTTTTTTTTTAATAGTGTGGTGACCTATATGTATACCTTTTTCTAATATACAGCCCATTTATAAATTTCTGGTATGAAACCTCAGTTGTTTATTTTAGTTTGGATTTTTGTATAGATTCTTGGATTACTTTTGATTGTTTTAAAGATTTATTTTTTATTTATTAGATATAGGGAGGGAGGGAGAGCGAGTGGGAGAGAAGGGGCAGAGGGAGCCAGAGAGGGAGAGAAGCAGACTCCCTGCGGAGTGCAAAGCCTGAGCCCAAGATCATGACCTGAGCCCTAGATCATGACCTGAGCCAAAACCAAGAATCGGCCGCTTAACCGACTGAGCCACCCAGGCTTTTGATTGTTCTAAAAATCAAATTCCTAGCTTTCATTTAGAATCCTTAAATATAACAGACTTTGAAAAATTTATGAAAAGAATTCTCAGAGTGCATGAGGTATATGCATCATTGTGGTAAGTAGGGAGACAACTTTTAGAACTATGACACTTATTTAAATGTACAGTTGACCCTTGAACTGTGCTGGGGTTTGGGGGCATTGACCTCCGCATTGTTGAAAAACTGCATGTTAACTTTTGACTTTCCCCAAATTGAACTACTGTATTTTTAATACATATATTTTTCACCTCAGCCCCCCCACCCCACAAATGTGTTTTATATTGTGACTGAAAAGTAAGAAGTTGCCAAATGGCAAGCAAAGGGAAGGTAGAGGAGAGACGCGGGGTAGGCTTAAACAACAGGGCTCTCACCTGCTTTTGGCCGTCCTCATCCCCCTACATGGGCATGAAGGTTAAGTTCACTGAAGCCTTGAACAGCTCTGGAGAGGGATTCTTGCTGAAGTGGCAGGGCCAGTTACTGGTCCTCCTTGGCCAGGGATCATAGAATGATACCACATCACCAAAGGGTCTGGGGAAACCCCACAATGACAGGAAGAAGCCCACAATGCAGAGCAGACAGCAGGGAGGGGTGCCATCTGCCATACTGAATGACCTCCAAGCAGACGAGCTAATATAACAGGGATCTAGCAGCTCACAGCTTGCCAGCATGTCCTGTAAGCAGAAGCTGCCTTAGAACCAGGTAGGGAGTCAGTGGGTCATGCCGACCTAGAGAGATGGTAAAGGTGCTCTGCCTTCCCCTAGATGTTGCATAGAAGGACGTTTTCTACATTTCTGGGTAGTGGATAAGGGGTGTTACTCCAGGATCCAGTTTTGCTAACTTTAGGTGGGGGTGAGGAGACGTACGGTACCTCATTCTACTGTACTGTATTTGTTGACCCAAATCCGTGTTTAAGTAGACCCCTGCAACTCAGACCCAGGTTGTGCAGCTGTATGTTTTTGTTTCAAAATAATTGTTAAGAGAATTATTTTATACTGTTCATCTTGCTTCTATCACAGGAATGTTTCTGACAAAGAGAAATAGGATTTTTTGTTGGTGATGGTTAATCTTGTGAAGAAAATGTGCTTGTGTTATAAAATTCATGTTGAACCTGCTCTTCTGTGGTCTAGATTTAGCAGAAAAAAAATTTAATCACCTGTCTCCATATGCAACTGTCTCAATTCTCACTAATTCAGTTACATGAGGTGTTTTCTATCTTTACAGGTTCAGTTTAACCTGCAGTTCACAAAACCAAATACATCACTAGGAGATGTTCAGTCAGGAACAACTATTAGTATGCCTTGCTCAACTGATAAGGAGAAGTAAGTACTTGTTGGCATAAAATTTAATGTTTGCAGTTTTGAAAGTCATCTTAAATAATTTTTATCCGTTCTTGAAAGCTTTGATGCCCACTTATTTATCTGTGACATTTTAAGTTGCTTATCAGTGGGATTGAAGTGGAGTTCCTTTTATCTATAAGAAAGAGATTTCCCATGTTTTTTTAAACTGTAGTAGACATTTAAACATAAATTTTATTTTTTAGGAGACTTTCCTACATAACTGAATTACCTTTCATCTGCTTTTGGGCAACTAGATAGAAATCTTTTTAACTCCCTTTAGTGTGGTTTTTGTTTTTGTTTTGGCTTTGTCTGCCTCCGGAAGCACTCCGTTTTTCTGAATTAATGCTTCCACTGTAAAGTACTCTGAGAAGCCAGCTATTTTATTTTATTTTATTTATATTGTAAAGATTAAAGATTTATTTATTTGAGAGAGAGCGAGCATGAGCAAGGGGAGGGACAGAAGGAGAGGGAGAGAAGCTGACTGGGAAGGGTACTTTGGCTTATGGATGAATTACTTAAGAAACCACTGGAGAATATGGTTTGTTTTGAACAAAGCTATCATCAGATTATTTTATACATAGTATATGTATGTCTGTAGATTAAACCTTCAAAATTAACTTTTAAAGTGAAAATAAGGCTTTGTTAAGTAAATAATTACTATTTTCCTTTCAAGTGGTGCAAATTTAGGGCTAGAATCCAAATACCTGAAGAAAAGGGAAGATAGCATTCCTTTACGCGGGCTCAGCCAAAACCTGTTCAATAATCCAGGTGAGAGGACAGTTCTGAAATGGATTTTACACTGTGGTTTAATTGACTATATTTTACAGAAACCTAAGTGAATACAAATAATTTTTTTTTGTCCTCATTTGCAGACCATCAAAAAGATGGCACTTTAGGAGCATTACAGACATCTTCCAAACCCGCAGTGCTCCCTTCTGCATCTTCAGCGTATTTCCCTGGGCAGTTAACAAACAGTTAATGGTAGTGTTACCGTTTACTTTTTATTGAAATTTTAGAAATTCCCATGGTTTAAAAATATATGAACAGCATAGATCAAATCCTTCAGCCAGCAAGTTTACTTGAGCTTACTGTATTGTATTAGATTGTTTGGATCCTCTTTAAGTACTGCTGTCATTTCATGACAAGCTAGAGGAACCGATTTGTACTTGGGGGATTCTGAGTGAAGATTCTCAGGAAATGACACCTTTTAGCTGTGAACATGGTATTTTATAGAATAACAGTATGAATTTCATTAAATGAATCCTTAAAAAAGAAGTTCTAAGGAAAGAGTTGATCCTTTTACAGGACATTCTAGTCATTGAGTATCTGGGTAAATGAAAACCTGCTCAGACATAATATGAAACTAAAAAATGTTAATAATTCATGTTATCATTTTCATTGGTAAAAGTTTTAAATTTGACACCTGAAAATTATGAGGGAAAATTATCTCCAAAGATATCTATATTATATTTACCATAAAGGGAAAAGTCTTAGAATTACCTTCAATGATTGAAATTAATCCTTCATAGCAAGTAAATATTTTCCTTGCAACACCTTTAAATTGGCTATTGAACAAGTCTAAGTAATTTTGATAAATTATAAAAATAATTTGGACAATGTATTTATATAACCAGATTGGGTATAAAGTGCTTTTAATCATTTGAGCTGCAAAGTTTATAGGATTTTAATGCTTCCTGGAAAACTACATTTACCCAGTTTTTCTCTTTTGTTTGGAGTTTTATTAGTTTGTTATGCAGTTAAATCTGTATTAGTGGAATGTTTTAAAAATTAGTGCTATACAAAATAAGAGCATCATGAATATTGCTTTTTTATAATATCAGAGTGGCTTCGCCCAGTACAGAGTAGCATTCTCTTATGAAACGTATAAATCAGTTTTTGTTTGCAAGGATTGCTAATGCTCATGTAATATTTATAAACTATTTTCAAGGACCTTAATACTGTTAATATCAGTATTATTGGGTTCACGGTAAGACAATCTAGTATTTGCTCGTATTTTTCTGAAGCCACAATATTGAGTCTTGTGATACTCTGAAACTGTGCTGGTAGTTGCAAACAGTCTTAACTAGGGGATTTATTCAAAAAAACTTAGTGACCATTATTGGGTAGTGACTTTTATATGTGACTTGTCATTTCAGTATACTGTATGAGTATTAGATTACTGGTTACAGTAACTTGAAAGCACTTACTAATAATAATCTGGAAAGTAGCCTCTTGGTGATACTAGAATCTTTCCTGTAAATATAATGTAACATATATATAAAACATTGTGACAGGGTTTGGATGGGACTTAGGACATACAGGTAGTTCTTTTTTATTTGAAATTGTTTTGCAGTGTACAGCTGTACATGTGTTAATAATCACAAGGTTGCACTTAATTTCTGTGAACTGTGAGCTTTGTTAATAAAGTATTTATGGAGTATGATGTGTATATAAAAACAAACAGCATTGATCTGCAACTGTTGACTATGCTTAGAATTTAAGTACTTCCGTTTAATATACAGACTAAGTTTTCATTTCTTTTGTCTTCCTACAGGAGTATGTTGTAGTGAGGGAGGAAAAAAAGGGGTTGAAGGGAAAATGATGTAAAGCTTTGATTTGTTACTGTAAAAATGATTATGGTAACAAATAAAGCCAAAACAGATCTTACAGGGAATCACAGATCAAGACTTTCTTAAAAAAAAAAAAATCATTAAAATATTTAATTTTATTAAGAGTATTTACATTTCTTTTAAGACCTTATTTAACCATAGTGAATGTTCCAAGTTTAAAAAGCATTGAGCAATAACCACACACAAGATGAAAACAGTGTAAACTATACAATACTTTATGTACAATTTTTACAAAGTAACACTTTTTTAAATAATATAACTGGACACAAAAATATACACTTTAGAGAAATTCACATCAGTAATTGTATAAAGCTCTCTTCTAGGGTCCTGAAAATTTAGGACAAACATTAGCTCTGTAAATAAAGTGTTACTGTGACAGTCCTGAAAGGCCACTATATATATTTATCTACATATAGATATCACATTGACATTTTCAAGGCTACCAGCTTTACTATTTAATTTTTAGATTATGTATTCAAGTGTTGAGGTTCTTATGATTATGCAAACATTAAAAGAATAGTGGTGTAAGTAGATGGGGAACAAATCCGAGCCAGCGTTTAGATTTACAGACTCTACCCCAATTTAAATTCTAAATGGCTGATATTTTTTCATTTCAAAAACAGTGGTGAATGTTTAAAATAAAATTACTACAAACAAGCTTGAAACATGATTCAGATTTAGTACAATTTTCTTGAGTTTTTTTTTAATGCAAACAATTCATTTACCATTTCTTTACTTTAGTGCATCTGCATTAAGGCTTTGAATTATTTGACCCAAGATTTTACAGTGTTAAAAACGAACAGGTCCATAACCGTACTATCTACTCTGTCTCGCTGTGAGTCAGCATAAATAGAGTTAAAGCTCAACACCTGAAGGAAATGGTAGCAGAGACGTTGCTAGTATCTAAGAAGGTACGTATATAGTTTTTAATTAAAGGATGTATAATAAAACAAAAAGCTTAGTGGCAAGAAATTGGTGCTAATAAACAAAAGGTTTCTTTTCAAAAGAAATTGTAACATCTTTGGAAAACTGTCTGGTTCTGGTTCTTTCTTTAGTTCCCACGGAGTTCATGCAGATACATTTCTTAAGACAATCTTAAAGTACATTGTAGATGGAAATGGAATGTACATCCAGAACTACAGGTGAAAACTAAGACCTGGGTGTGAGAGAAAAGTTTTCCTGATTTCGGTCATCACACATTTGTGTCCTGGAGCAAAGGTTCTTTGGCCTCTCCTGGCGCTTGTGTACTGTGAGGATGGCTGTGACTGCCACAGTGCTTTCTCCAGCTGCTGGACCGTAAGCTCAAATTGGTATGTTCTGGAATAAACAAGGCAACAAGCAGAGCCAGCAGTACCGAACAGGCTCCAAATAGGAAGGGGGGGCCAGGGATGATCGAATTCTGAAAAAGAAAAAGATAATTAGGGTTTTTGCGCCGTCATCTCTGCTCTAAAACTGCTTATCTTTTAGTAATCCCAGATTGGTATGAATTATAAATCAAGGTCTTCTCTCTTTCTTCATCAGAGCTACAGTTAGAAAATGCATTTGCTTTTCAGGAGAAAAGGGACATGATCATATATAAAATTCTGAGGATAGTAACTGATCCAAGAAACAGAGCCAAAAGATTTTTTAAAAAACAGCCTATGCAGAAATAGATGGTCACTTCTAGCACAGAATCTGAACACATCCTATGAGCCTTCACCTCATTAGTTCAGCAGGAAGCTCTCAAAAGTAAAAGTAAGTAGCATACGTCATTAACTACCTTAGCGGAATCAATGACCGTTTTCTTTGTTTAAAAAGGTAAATACATTCTCTAGTAACAAGTGAGGGAAACACAGCTAAGGCTGTTACCATAAGAATCAAAAAGGCCTTTGTTTTAGCCCAAAGTTACATTCATCCTTAACAAAAACTTGCACAGCCAGTTTAACCTGTGTATAGCCCCACAAACATTTTTATTTAACAGTAGTCTTGGCGCTCTGCTAAACAAGCACGGAACTGATGAGCTGTTTGCATTGGCTAAAGGGATGATGTCTGCCGTTAGTATTTTCAGTTGTAAGGAGGGAAAGTACAGCAAACAAGTAAACAAAGATGTGAATCAGCACCTGGCTGCCGGTTGCTGCAGAAGGCAGGCCTCGCCTGGGGGCCTGGTGCCTCGCCCAAGACCCGGATGAGACAGACAGCAGTACACACGGGGGCTGTTACCCACGCCACAAGGTGTAATACCACACACTAGAATATTTCAGTAATTCTTAAATTCTCGAGGGAAAAGGTATGCACAGCCCCTTTGGCTTTGGTTTTTAAGTGCTGTAATACTCTCACGTAAAAGCTTGGGTGACCAAAAACCATTTATCTTTCAATCCAGCCAAATGAACTGTATGTTTATCAGGTGAACGAAGAATTACCTGTTCAAAGTGGTGCTGTGGGCTTGTGTTTGTTCCCAAGTCTGTTCCTGTCATTGGCAGTTCTTTAAGTTCCACATGGAATATGTAGAAAATGAATCCATAAAGAGCTGGTCCCAGACCATTGCACAATCCTCGAATTCCTGTTATCATTCCTTGAACAACACCTAAATTGTTTACACAAATTATGTAATGCACCGCTTATTTTTTTCCTGCCCTAGAACCAGTACAAACAGGAAGTCAATCTAAAACAAAAGCTCTCATCAGACACTAGCAATTTACCAAGATGGCATTAAAAAGTACTTAGAAGCCTTCAGCTCTACAAAGTAAGCTATCTGATACAAATGTGAGATCGGGTAAACCCAACCCAGCATAGATCTAGTTTAAACAAGTGGGCAAAAGCACCTCATTTCCCTTTAAAACACCCCTGGCTAAAAATCAGACATGAGTTCACAAGCATAATTGTTAAAAAAGAAAAAACTGCCCCCAAGCAGCTACTTAAGACCCCAGTGAGTCAAATACAGTTTGAGTTTTGCTTTTCTCTGGGATCTTTTCTCAAATTCAAAATGCAATTTGCTTTGGCCACAGGCCTTTCCTTCCTCATTTATCAAGCACATGCGCTGCCACTCTTTTGTAACACCTTTTTTTCCCCCTTATGACTAGAGAAAACACATCCTTTTCAAAGAATTATCTGTTAGTGTTTCGAGAATTAAATGTTCCTATCACAAAAGCGTAGGATACTGTTTTCTTTAGATAACTGAAACCTAAGATTTAAATAAAAGGGTTACTTAAACCCAAGGTGTCTAGCACATCATAGCAAACTTAAAAGTGGACATAAGGTGGCCAGTCTATCATTAGATTTTCTAGCAAAAGGACAGATAGCGCCACACACTCAGAGTGAGAGACATGGTTACAGATACCCACCTAAGGACAGTACCCTGGAATCTGCTTTTCCTCTTAGCAATGAAAGCAATTTTAAATTCTTTACCTTGAAGATACATTTATGATCCTGTACTGAGGAAGGAGATAAGACACAGGATTCGAGTATTCATGCTTTGAAATAATAATCATGAGTTCTTGTCAACTCACCTTGTTGATCAGCATCAGCAGTTCGTGAAACAAGAGCACTGACCGCTGGAAAGGTAATGCTAGACATGGCCGCTACGGCCCCGGCAGCCCACATCATCCTGTAACCCAAAGCAGCAAAACAAAAATACGTTCTCCACTGTGCCTCTCAGAACACACGCTTGAATTCAAGTCACTGTTACTGCAAAATGGCTGTGGTACAGGGAAAAGGAGAATCGTACTTGGTCTATTCCTTCCTTCCTGTGTGACTCTGGGCAAGTCACTCTAAGGCCTGAGCGGTGGGTGGGGGGACAGGGAGGCCATTGAGAATAAAGTACAATACACATAAAAAACATCATTTCGTGTTTCCCCAGCCAGTTAGTCACTGCAGGCACTGTTCCTGCAGACCTGTGCTTCAGCGTGAAGCTACTGAGCTGACCTAAGCCTTGGATGTTCTGGGCTTGATACTCGAAATAAACGCTTTAGATCATTTAAATTGTGAGCACCTCTTTGTAGAAACTAGCCTGGAAAACAAAACGACCGTCAAAACACACTCTTGATGCTTACTCCTATCCAAATCCAAACAGAAGTAGTATATTTGGGTGAAAACCTGAGTGAAGCGAGTTCAGTCCCGTCATCCAGAGCATAAAGGCGCGCCTGCACGGCCCGACCTTGACCTCACTACTGCCATCACCCTGCAGGGCACCAGACTAGCGAGAAAAGCAAAGAGCCTTTTCTCTGGCATGAAGCTGGGACCAAAACAAATCGGGCTTGCTCAATTAACTTCTGGTGTGCCATCAGTAATGATCACTGATGCTACACATTTCTTTTCTAACAGAAAAACAAAAAGTAAATAATGCTAGCTTTCAGGGCTTTGCTGCTTTGAGATTACATGTTTTATCCTAATGACAGACTGATAACAGATTAAATGCTCAGTAGAGATTGAAAAACTAATCTCATTTAAAAGTCTGTCACAGAGAAAAGTGATGTCACACCTCTCTATCCTCAAGCCATTCTAGAATATACAAATACACAAGTGTGAAATCTGTATTATATACATTTTGAGAGAAATAAAGCATAGTAGGAGACAGATTAAAATCTAGTAATAAGCCTTAGATGAGAAGCAAATACAAAAATGTCAATTAGGGGCACCTGGGTGGCTCAGTCAGTTGGGTGTCCAACTCTTGATTTTGGCTCAGGGTCCTGGGATCGACCCCCACATCAGGCTCTGCGCTCAGCAGGGAACCTGCTGGGGATTCTCCCTCTCTGCCCCTCCCCCACTCACGTGTATGTTCATGCTCTCTCCTTTAAAATAAATAAATTTTTAAAAAGAAAGTCTGTCAATTATACCTCAGTAAAGCTGGAAAAAAAAGGCAAACATTAAAAATTTAAAAATTAAAATATACCTACCAAGGTTCTGAACCAAAGCCATACCACGCCAGCTGTAATATTTGAAATCCTAGACCCAATAAAATGGTGTTCTTATTTCCAATTGACCGCATAAGTAAACTCAAGACTATGGTCTAGAAAAGAAGAAAAACCAGAATAGAATTGTTTATCAGAAAAGAACTTTTTA